CCATTTTTGGAAACTTGCTAAAACACAACAAAATGAGACAGGAATCATGATTATCGATGAATTTGAATATTGGGAGAGCTTTCCGCAAGATTTTTCCGATCCATGGTTTAAAACATTATGTCATGAGGTATTATTTAAAACAGTTCAGTATATAATATGATTTATTACTAAATTCTTTGATACAATCTAGTATAGATATTTAAGAAAAGAAGAACTGCCAAAAAGTGCCGAGTTCGGGATCTCGTATAAGTCAGGTATCCCATATAGAAAATAATATCAATCTATTCCTAAAATCAAAATATACATAATTAGTCATAATATGAATATCATTTCGTAAGTTTCTATTAATCCACAGACTTATCTTAAATACCTCCTAAACACTTTTATATCAATGGGCGGCACCACCCAGCACGCCGATATTTCACATATAAATGAATGTATTAAAAGCGAAACAGATATTTTGATTAATTGCTCTGGCATTCATGCCAGAACACTGAAGGGAGTTGAAGGTTCTAATGTCTATGCGGCAAGGGGACAACTTGTGATCGTTCAATCGAATATAAATTGGGCTTTTTTTTATCGAGGTGATATGAACACACGTTTTTGGTTATGAATTAACTCTTCAAGCGCTGAATTAAATTTATTCACTCTTTTGTAATCATAGAAAAGGCTGGAAATAAACCAGAGGTGATACCCCGTAGTGGTGATGAAGTCGCTCTTGGCGGGACTTACGTAAGCATTTAACTTTGTTTATTTTATTTCAAATAGGATTATTCATATTTTAATTAAATTCACATCACTAATTATAGCAAGAAAACAACTAGTAGATAATCATTATTAGCACAATACTTTTTTTTATTATTAATAATAAATCTCATATTATATAAGTTCGACAGATATTGATCATGATGCAGCTACAAGAATTATTCAACGATGTCTTGCTGTTCGTCCAGATCTCTTACCAAAAGATCAGACTCAATTAACAATAAAGGGTTATGGAGTTGGTCTCCGACCCTGTCGTAAGGGTGGTATAAGGATCGATGCAGAATGGATCAGTATGTGTATGATTTTTTGCAATTAACATTTAATTGAATTCATCATAAACATATTCTTACTAATTTTTATTGTTTAGCCTCTGAAGAGTTTGACAAAAAAATTCTCATTTGTCATAATTATGGTCATGGCGGTGCTTGTAAATAAAATCATATATGCAAACCATTTATATTTATTTATTAACTCAATTTCTCTCATTTTTAAAGGGTTCGAATCGAGTTATGGTACTGCTAAACATGTGATAAAAGTCATGAAAGAAATGCTACAGATGCATTAAGCATTTTCTTGTATATTTTGAATATTTTTTGATTTAGTTTAAGGCTTTAGTGGCAGTATTAGTCCAGTAATTTTTAAAAATATATATTTATTTTTATATTTTATTTATAGCAATATATTTATTTATTTATTTCTACTCTTGAAACCTGCACAATTATTAATAGCAATTGTATTGGTAATACCTTTTTCGCTTGCCAAATCAGATACCAATAAAATGTAATGGCTAATACAAGCTTTCATAAGCCCAAATAGCCTTATTAAAAACTAGAAAGTCTCATAAATGCGAATGGCCTATTTCAAATATCCAATTTAAAAAAAATTAACTCGCAAAAATTAGCATGAATCTGAGCAATCTAATCTTCATGAATCTTGCTTTAAATCTGTGTTTTTTTCTGTGTACATTATAATAATTTATTAATCAAACTAAAATATACTACTCTCTAACTTACTTTACAGAAACCTAGGTTTTTTGCTAAATATGTTTACAATATATTTATTATATATTAACAATATTATTATTATATGATTTAAAATAGTATATAATAAATATACTTTGAATACATATTAATCATATAATAATTATATTTTTGTTCTTTCTGCTAACTCTCTTGTAACTTCATTCCTAATAATATGTTTGTTATATAGATACAATATAATTTTATATATAAAATAATCTGTTATTAATCTAATGATAATAATAATAATAACAGAATAAAACCAATATTTTAATAATATAATAGTCCTATAATAAATATATTAAATTATTTATAATATGTTTATAATACGTTTATAATATTAATAAGTTTCTTACAAGAGAGTTAACAGAGCTTACTAAGACTTTTATTATACAGTATGTTAGATATATGCTGTTTATATTTTTAAAAAATCAAGGTTTCTGTAAAGTAGGCACCACTGCTTTTTGTGTAGAATCAAATTGGATTTACTCCTCAGCTCTTGCATTAATAGAGGTGTTCTATTTAAGTTTTGCTTTTTATACAAATTAAATCTTAAAAATTATTCGCAATTAAAATCAAACTAAAATTGAGCATCTAATAAAAAAAAAAAGATGATTAATTTCAAAACGTATAGTATTTAACGTATAGTATTTAAGCTATTCATTTTAATTTTTTATCTACTAATACTCTTATCCAATGATCGTTTAAATAAGTTCAAAACTATACTTACTACATCCCACAAGTCAACCCACGGATCAACCCGCGAGTGATTCTACCAATCATTAGGTACGAGGAGGTAAAATGTGTAGTAATAGCCTTATTTTGAAGCCATGAATTTTTTCATATTATCAGTCCATAAAGTTGGATCAAGAACTTTAGGATAGGGGCTTACTTAAAAACATTAACACCAGAGATATGAAAATAACGAATTAAAGAAAAACAATAGTTGAAGTGAATTTTTTAAAACTGAAAAGTGTTCATCAGACCATTGATTAATATTAAAAGGTACGAGAGATTTTGTGCGATTCCTATTTAATAGCTCGTATTCAAAATTTATAATTCATATTTTAACGTAAAATAATACTAAAGAATTGATATCGCCGCCGCCTCTAATTTATGTTTAGAGCAGAGACTATTACTTCGTTCTTCAAGAAAACAGCAACGTTACTGAAGTAAAATTTAACAATATTAAGGAAATACAAAATATTAATTTCTCCTACATAAATAGTGAAAATCCAATAAGCATACACACATTATTTGGCGAATACATTCTAGCATAATACGTTAGGGTGTTCAATAAACTAATTGATCAAAACATAGTTAGGGTCATTAAGTTCGGATTTTTTAAAGGGTTATTTCACATATAAAATTATATATGAATTTGTACTAATTTAGGTGCATTTTTCTACACAACTGTATCATAACTTTTAATAAAATTGTATTTTAATTTTTTATTAATAATTAACATCGGTTATTAAAAAACTGGTTCTATTTTAGTGTAGAGCTAGTCTAGAGCTACAGTTTAAAAAAATATATGATATAATTTTGTTTGTTAGTGTGTAGAAAAATGCACCTAAATTATTACAAATTCATATATAATTTCATACGTGAAATACCCTTTAAAAAATCCGAACTTAACGACCTAACTATGGTTTAATCAATTAGTTTATTGAACACCCTAAGGCGATATGGATAATATATTACATTTTGTATTTATAATGAAAAAAACATCCATAAACTTTATTTTATATAAGCAATTTTTCAAAAACCAAGTATAAAATATCCAAAATTGTATTATAACCTTTAATAATAATCTGTACCAATTTATATTTTTCTATACAGTCAAACCTCTATATAGTCACATTTTTTATATTCATACCTCTATATAAGCACTTAATTTTGTTATATAAGCATAATATCTTTATAAGCACATTTTTTAAAAAAGTTCATATAATCCCAATTAAGTGATTATAAAGAGGGTTGACTGTATTTGTTAATCTATATCTATAAATCTAATCATGTAAATATTATTTCAAATAAATAATAAATATAATAAGTTCAATGAATTATAAATTAAATCAATATAAAACTTACTATCACAAATTTCAACAAAATCAATAGGATGTTTACTTGCTAAAACAAGTTCAAAATTAAGCTTAAAATAGATACAAATAACATAATATGATTTTTATAAAAATAAATACCATTAATTGCAATTAATATTTTTCTAGTACTAATTAATTTGCTTGTGTATATCATATTGTGATGTTTTGGTAAGTTAAGTGACAATGTTTTTGTTTTTTCATCCGCATCCAGGAATTGTTTTTTAATTTCTACATCCGAATAAATCCATTTATGAAGTTTATAAAAAATGTCTTCAGCACTAGGCCGTTTCTTTGAGTCCAAATTCATACATTGTTTAGCTAATGCTATGTAGCAACCCGGAGTCCCTGAAGCAAATTCTGGCTGCAATCCATTGAGAATAATATTAACAGCAAAACCTTCATCGAATTGATGGCCATCAAAAGGTCTTTGCCCGGTCGAAACCTGTGACATAATAACTCCAAAACTGTAAATGTCAGCAGCTTGTGTAAACGTTTGACTCGATAAAACTTCTGGAGCAACCTAAGGCATAACTCCATAAATTTCACCTTCTGAATAACTTTCATCATTCTTTTTAGACAATCTTAAATCTGTGACCAAGGATTGCAAAACTGTGCTAGTGCGCTGAATATGCAAAATGTTGCCACTGTGAAAATCTGCATGAATGTATCCCGCCTTACGTATCGAGAATAAATCACCTGCAATATCTTCAAGTATTCTTAATTTAATATTCCAAGTAAGTTTTTGAAAATTTGTTCTTAAAAAATTGTGAAGATTTCCATTATCAGCATATTGAAATACCATCAAATATTTATTTTCACCATTTTTAGTTAATCCATATACAAACAGCCTACTACCGTTCATAAAGCATTTCATATGATGGTCAAACTTTATAAAAATCAAGTAAATTAGGACATTATATAATTAATATATTTTGAACAAATAATGATTTAACTCACTTCTTTTAAAGATTTTGATGGCAAGGTCTTGAGCGCAACTATGCTATTTGATTCGCGTGTTCTTTTATAAATACAGTTGTTATCATCGTCAGCAAAATTGTTATTATTATTAATTTTATTTTCTTCAATTTTTCGAATGCCATCCAACCACATTGCTTTGTATACGGAACCAAATCCTCCTTCGCCAATTTTTTCAACATCATCCATTCAATCACAAGTTCATGTGTCCTGGCTCTAAGTTGGGACGGTTTCATGAACAATTTCTTTATTTCCACTTGTTGCTTTATCTGGATCGCATGATATGCACCATGCTTTAAAATTGTTATTTTCATTACAATGTACACATCTTCCATATTCAGATACTCTATAATATATAATATTTCATTACATCTGCTGATTTAAACCTCGTAAAGTATGTAAATAATTGTTATACCAACCGACTAAATTAATGTGAATGAAATGATTTGTGCGTAATGGTAAATAAGTATTTATGTTCTTGTTTCGTGAACTTGTTTTGTTGTTTTTATGTCGTAAAATTATAAAATATTCTTTATACTCACCGACTAAATTAATGCGGATGAAACGATTTGTACGTAATAGTAAATAAATATTTATGTTGTTTTATGAACTTGTTTTGTTGTTTTTATGTCGTAAAATTATAAAATGTTCATTACTCACAGACTAAATTAATGCGAATGAAATGATTTGTCCATAATGGTAAATCTTGTTTTGTGAACTAAGTTTTGCTGTTTTTATGTAGTTAACTATTAAATGTTCTTTATACTCACGATCTGAATGAAATAATTAATGCGAATTAAATAATGTAAATAAGTATTTATTTACTTGTTTAGTGAACTTGTTTTGCTGTTTTTATGTATTAACTGTTCTTTATACTCACCCACTGAATGACGATTAATGCGAATGCGAATGAAATGGTTTGTACGTAATAAATAAGTATTTATGTTTTTGTTTCGGAACTTGTTTTGCTGTTTTTATGTAGTAAAATTATTAAATGTTCTTTATACTCACCGACTAAATTAATGCGAATGAAATAATTTGTACGTTGGTAAATAAATATTTATGTTCTTGTTTTGTGAACTTGTTTTGCTGTTTTTATGTGGTAAAATTATTAAATGTTGTTTATACTCACAGACTAAATTAAAGCGAATGAAATGATTTGTACGTAATGGTAAATAGGCATTTATGTTCTTGTTTTGTGAATTTATTTTCTGTTTTTATGTAGTAAATTATTAAATGTTGTTTATACTCACAGACTAAATTAAAGCGAATGAAATTATTTGTACGTAATGGTAAGTTGGGATGGGTTCGGTCGGCTAGTAGTCGGCTAGCCGATCGGCTATAGCCGTAGTCGATGTAGTCGACTATAGCGGCTT